TCCTTATCATGTGGGAGAAGGTACATGAAAAGACTGATTATACATTGATTTATAATTGATACTCTATCAGTCTGCAGTAGGTTGTTCTAGTATATCTGATAAAGAGAAAGGGGCTAATGACAATACTCTAAGAAGAAAGTTCTCAAAGTCCTTTTAATATCTGGGTTTGAGGACAGGGAAGATTGGGGTGTATAGTTTTGGGGTTTTTAGATTTTTTTTTTTTTTTTAAATTAAACTAGTCGATCCCCAGTTCCTCCTCCTCTCCCTTGATCACTCTGGTTTATTAATATTCAAGATTTTGGTGAAAGACATACTGAAGGCAAATTTTAAAAAATTACCAACACAATTTCCCTCCCTTTCAACTGTTGGAAGCAAAAATCCATCAGTTTCATCAGCACTTGCCTTCGATTCCTTTCCTCCCTCATTCTCAGTCATCTTTTAATGAGATGGAGAAAGAAAGGGAAACGTTGCCATCTTAAAAAAAGGTGGAGTCTATGCAGGGAAGGTGAAGAGTTTTACTATACCCCATTACACTTACAACGGAAGTCCAATGAAGTATGAAAAGCAGCATTTTCCTCAGCTTTCACACACAGTTTTACGCTCCCTTCAACCAAACTGAAAGGAAAAAAAAAAATTAAGCAATCTCCAAGAACCAGAAACAAAGTGTGGAAAGCCACAGTTTTGGTTCTAAATACAAAGCAGGAAGTTCTATGTTCTAATCCAGTTAAAAAAAACCCAAAAAATACCAAAACCAAACTTATTTTGAAGCCAAATGAGAAGCTCTATTTCGAGAAGTCTCAAGAGTAACAACAAAAGAACCTTGTTTTCAGTCAGAGATTCTTCAAGGGTGTTTTTTGTTTGCTTAGCTTGCAGATTATCAACCTGCCATTTTAAGAGGTAAAGCAGTTCCTAAAATACCTTCAAGAGGTGATGAAGTACCACATTCAAATCATTCTTCACGCATCAGATTCAGACTTCAATTATATCATCATCCCACACAACAAAAACAACTCACAGATACAGATGGCGGCTCCCTGCCACATTCATTTTGCAGATCGGCCAGGACTAAGTCTCATTCTCATACTGAAGCTATTTCCACAGAGCTGGCAAAAGACACTCTCCTCTTTCAGGCTCCAATCCAGCGAAGCTGCTGAAGCCAGGTGGGAGCACTGCAAAGGCTCCACATTGCAATGAGTCTCCCTTGAGCAGCTGAGCCACGCGCAGTGGGCAGGCAAAGGCGTCTGGAAAGGCACCAGCGCTTCACCAGTCAGAACACTGATCTTGTCTCAACCATTTTCTTTTTGAGTTGTCTTTGTGTTCCTTAGTGTCACACAAGCAACACAGAAAGATATGAGATAGATACTTGGGAACCGCACTCCTGGGGAGCGGAGAAAGGGTTAGAAAGCGAGAGAAAGACCCCTTACTGACTGTCAAGATTGGTCACAAGAAGCAGGACTGAGATTTCCATCCTGTGTCCTGATGTTAAAGGGCAAACATCTGACACTTTATACACTGAGAACTGCTTGTCTTACAGGCTAAATAATATAATTATGCAATTACTTAATTGTATAATCCAGAAGCAATCCTTCAAACCAGAGGCTGTGCCAACAGCCTTGCATTTTATCCTAGCTTTCAAAAAGAACCTCTTGCATATTGTGGCATATTATTAACACATAAGAGCACACGCATTCCACTTTTTTTTTTTACTTTAGGACAAACTCAACATAATATATTTACTTAAAAATTATTCAAGTAGGCAGGCTAAAGAACTTGGCACTATTTATTGCATGGCATATGCAGTTTTCTCAGGCTGCCAAAGCTATCAAACCCAAAAACTCCTCCAAGAAAGGTAGCTGGTGAGAAGAAAAGGCTAAAGCACACATCCCCCTGTTAGCCAGCAGGAAACCCAAACAGGAGACAGAAATTTGAAGCCCATCTTCAAGTCTTCTACTGCATACAGAAGTTCACCCTGAGCATGGTAAAATCTCTATACATCAATGAGAAGACAACAGTTCACAAGCGAAAATATGTGTACTTTTCAAAACACAAACTGAAGGCACCCGCAGAAATACTGACTACCAACAACCAGCAGAGGACTGTTATCTATGCATTTTGCTTTTTAAAGTTCCTCCTATAGTCTCCTACAGTTTTAAAAAGTATAAACTGAAAAAAAAAAAAAAAGAGAAAAAAACAACCTGAACCACCACCCCCCAAAAAAAACCCCACCCTACTAAAATGTTTCTGGCCCTCACCACAACAGTTATTTAAGGAAAGTTTTCAGGATTCTTTGTTTTGGTGCTACCCAAGCCTGAAGTCAGAACAAATGGAGGCACGTTACAAACAATAAAAAGCGCTTATCCAGAGCCCTGTGAAGCAAGTTGTTTAAACTTAAAATAACTTCTTAAGTATTTGAGAACAAATTAGGAAAAAAAAAGAAATAATTGGTGTTCAACATTTGTAATAAAGTGAACTCTAAGACAAAGACAGAAGCAGTATTACTACTGAAACACACTTCGTCTAAAATAGAGATTTGACAGCACACACTAGGTCATACCTCAGAGGCCTTAACTATTTTTTCCTCTTTACAAACAAACTTTGATTAAAGATTCCTCAATAAACTGTTCTATTACTAAAAACACATTTTCAGTAAACCTTTAACACTTATCTGTTAACTATTCTTTCAAATAAAAAGCAAAGACCGTACACTGCAAAGAACAGCACTAAAATAACTACATTTAGCAACAAAATAATACTAAACTTACCCTAACCTTACCCTTCAGAAGAAAGCTGTAACATAGGGAAAGTAAACAGCTCTTGGAAACCACTACTAGAGACACATTAAGACAGAACTACCTCCATATGAGGTGTTTATTGGATTATAAGAAGTAACACCTGTGGCTGAAAGCTTGTTGGGTGGGGCAGTCCTCATGGATGTTATTTTTTCAGAGTATGTGCGTGGGGTTTGATTTGTCCTGTTTTCTTTTAAACCATGGAAGAAGGAGCTCCATGTCCTCATGGGTGTTTTTATGGGTGCATGATAAATAAACGTTCCTGAAAATCTGACTGTAGTAAGTATGCAATCAGCATTCCAGGGGAGGGAAAACTGCTCAGTCTAAGATGTGGCAAGTCAAACACGAACCTAAGAGGATCTTTATGGTAGATTATATCATACAAGTCTTACAGTAATTGAAGATTATAAATATAGTCCTTATCCACAATGGTTTATTTTGCTGTCCTTTAGTCTATGAAAAAAGATTAATTCATGTTATAAGTAAAAAAGGAACTGATGTTGATGGAGTAATTGCTGAGTGCATAGAAGTGTGATTTAAATAGAGGGTGAAAACAGATGGAAGCAGCATGGCACGTGAAGGTCTGCTCTTCTATATTTCCTCTTGCAATTAGCAGTTTCTTGTACTAGGCCTGCTCTCTCTTCTCTTGTGCTAGTATTCAGGATACATGCCTCTTCCCTTCCATGCCTTCTGAGTAACTAGGCTGGCCTCATAATCTACGATAGACTTGTAGTTGCTTTTTAATACTGAATTCCCTTGGAAAAGATCTATTTAGTACCTCTAGAAATTGTAGTGATGTAAAACTAACCTTTTTTTTCTCATATACAGACATCTATGACAGTAGTCCTCGCCACCTTGTCTCAACTCCAGTAGCTCTCTCCTTAGCGACTTTCCTGACTCAGTTCAAGGGTTGTGACAACTGTCATCATCTCATGCACAATTCCTAAGGTCAGACTGCTGGTGGCATTCAGGTACCTACTTTGATTTTCAAAAGCACTGCCATGAGCTAGGAAACCAACTGACTTTGAAAACTAGCCCCATAATAACCCTGGTCCCCAATTCTTCCCTTGTGAGAGAAAGGTCTGTGAAATGTATTGTATTTCTTGTCAGGCCTTGTCTGAAAACGGACTAGAACACATTCACCCTGGAATGTAGAGCTAATTATTGATGTCAAGAAATGTGTGAGAACCTGACTAAAAGGAAGAACAGTTTGGAGTCACTCCCAGTACCAGTCTCAGGCAAATGAAAGCATTTATAGCAGGAAATGTAGGTAGGGTGGCATCAGACATACACTTCCAATCTTCCCATTTCCACCAAGAAGCAGACACCCCTACAAACCCTTGTGATCTATCTTCAAAAGGACTACCTATGAGGTTAGAGACGCTATTGATACAGTCTGGTACAAACATCAAAGCTCTTTCACAAATACACTGACTAGCATCATCTACCGGACAAAATACCGTTCATAGGTGGGCAGCTGTACCCTTGACTGGCCACAGGGAAAAATGACAAGGTCAAAGACTGGTAAAACTTTTTAGTTTTATTAAAAATTGGCAGTTGCATCCCTCCTTTGCTAAGCTGGGCAAGTTTCTGTTGTTTGGTTGCGTGGGGTTTTTTCTGTTTTCCTGTGCCATAGGGTATTTTTGGGTTAGTGAGCTCTGAAAGCAAAAAGAAGCAGCAACCACAAAGCAATTATCAAGAAAGCAGGTTGAGCAAACAGGCTATCTTTTTGCCATGAGTCCTCCTTCCTCAGAATGACAGACCAGGCTTCAGCGATCCTGTCAGTTTGTGAGAGATACAGGAAATGCCTGCCAGAAGCCAATTCCCTCTGGATGTCTTAAATGGACATGACGGTGCAGTGTCTGCCAGCCTGCTGCCCCTGCAAGGCTGTGTTTTCTTTGCGATAACCTATACCAAGGCAAAAGACCTTCATGCTCATTAGCTCAGACACGGGTATAATTAAGCAGAATTGAAGAGAAGCTTTAGCTCCAGATTTATTTTAGACTGAAGAGATCTGAATAAGAATTCTTAAGGATAAGGTACCTTATTAGATCTACAGAGTTTTAAAAGTTTTGAAGTTTACTTGCCCTCAGAAACATCAGTCTGTATCAGGAACAGTCTACATGCAGAATCTGACATTAACTTGACTTTCAACTCCTGCTTCAAGTTTAAGACTTAGAAGTTTGATACATACAGTCAGACAAAAATATAAGGATTGATCAGGTAAACTGATCCTGTCGATTAATAATGTTTATTTGAGTTACAGCAAGCATAGGGTTTCTCTTATATTACTAAGGCACAGAACCAAGGACTGAGTATGTTGCTGGAGGTTAAAAAAGAAAAAGAAAAACCTAAACAAAACCACTTCAATCAGTAGTTCAAGTAAGTAACCCACGGATCCTTTCCCTTCTCCTGTAAGATTCTTAATTCAAATACAGGTCAAATCAGCAGTGCATGACACCCTAGCAACTGCTTTGGAGATCTAAATGAAGGGAAACAATGGTCCTAGAGCAGATTCTTGTGGAGAAATTTAGCAAAGGTCAAAATCAGGTGATAAAGAAGTTGAACTGAGATCGCTTCGTGTTTGAAATACTGTGGGAAGAGACTTTTCCTCATACCGCTGTCATTGAGTTGTACTTGCTTTCCACATGGTGTTTCCATAGCTGTCTGCATTCTTCCCTTCCTTAACACTGAAGGATTATAAAGGAGAGGCTCAGGTTTCCAAGTGAGTTAATTTCTTTCCTTAAATCTATGGCATTACTTGTATAGATGAGCAAGCAGTAAAAAGATCTGGTAAAGAAGAAAGTGTAAAGTTTGTCTTGGAAAGTCTTTGAAATATCTGAAGATACTGAAACACAACACGGGCTGAATGGTAGGTGACTGGTTGAGTTCCTCACTTACAGACAGTGACATGACTCTGTCCCCTGTTAATGGTGAAATTCTCACTATCAGCTGTGGCAGCAGGGAAAAGTACAAGGTACAACCTTCCCAAGGTAGATTGATTACTCTAAGCAGCACACACTAATATGACATGTTCTATGCTATAACTTAGTAAAATATTACCATAACACAAGTGGAAAAAATGTTAGTTTGTTAGTGCCCACTACAGAATTGAAACTTACTACCCGCCCTCACCCCCAACCCGCAAGCCTTAGGACAGCTTTCTGGATGATACTGCTTTCTCTCAGTGAAATGCTAAAATTCCTGTTTTGTTTTGAGTAACTAATTTCAGTTGTCTGTCTTCTCACTGGCAGATCATCTTCATTTTCCAGTCCTAGCAACTGCCTGAATTGCTTTGATCCACTCTGTACGCTCTGCAGATGAGGCTGCTTGCAAGTAGTAGTGGACTTCATTTGCTGTGATGATTTCAAAGAGGATGTTGTCAACGTCATACTTCTTGGCTACAGGGAAAAAATAAGGAAGTCAGCTATGAGAGAATAAAGTCTTGTATTTACAATGTTTCTTCCTTTACACACTGTAAGGGGATTTCCTTCCTTTCTACAGCTGTGCCCGATCAGGCTTTCGCAAACAGATTGCAAGATTGGGTCCATGAGATAGGTCTCTCTCTTGGAGAAACAACCCATGAATTCTGCACATTTCACCTTCAGGAGTCTCTGGTTAATTGATCTCCAATCATGGAAGGATCTGCAATCCTGCAGACAGGTCATATTCCCCAAACCCTCCCGTGCCTTGCCAGCTACGAAAACAAGACATTTAAGTTCACGTCACATCCAGAATCTCCTGTTCTTTTCGTATCTGCCAGCACAGCCTACACAGGTGCTGAGATGCCAACAGACTTTCTTGCTGAGTATGATAGTCTGCCTCTCCCGTGGAGAGAAGAATGCATGGAATGAGTGTTTCTTGTTCCTTGCAGCAATCCTTAACCATTGCTGTTCCCACAACTTCTAGTTTTGGGAAGAACAGAATGTGAACAGTAATAATTTGTTGGCATAACCATTTCTAATGTAAAGCTTCCATCTCAAATTCATCAACTAAAAAGAGCAAACTCAGCTTACTTTGTCTAAGGACAGTTATCCTAACATAGGGATGGTATCATCCTTTTGACAAGCCTTCTCTAAACAACTGACAAAACACAAGATACCCTGCTGCTACCTTTACCACAGTATCCTTCTCCAGTAATTAAGACAGCAATAGAGAGACCAGTTACTAGAAGAATTACTGAATCATTGCACATAGATTGCTTTTGAGTAAAAACCACTTGTGATTTCAGGCAGATTCAAAGAATGTACCAAAAACTTATTACACAGCTCATTCAATATGGTTCCTTACAGTCTGGCATATCTTCCACTGCAGTCACCACGCAGCCTCTCAAGTGAATTGCTCCTAGTGGTTCTTCTCCCTGGAGAGGAGATGAAATCAAAAGGAAATGCAACGCTTCTGAAACTGTTCTCATGTCAATACCTGGCTACAACTCCAGAATGGAAACAAAAACATTTGCTGACTTAGTATGTCCCCTGGGAAACCAGGGGATCCTCAGTCTGTGTGTGACATGGAGGGTGGGGGGGTGTGGTAGGGGGAAGACTTGCAAATAAATAGGAAATCTCTTTTGGTATTTGGAATTCAGGATATGCAGAGTATTTAGCATGTCCTGAACAAAGGTACAAGAAGAATATAAGCCTTGTGCCAACCATAACTTTTCTTTTGATGACACAGTGAATAAAAAAAAAAGATTAGTTAGAAAAAGAGTAGATCTTAGAAGTATTCTTACCAAGCAGCAGGAGCAGCTATACCCTTATTTACAGTTTGGCCTCTTGTGCACTTCAGGACTGTTATAGTCAGAGAACGGGTGAAGAGGCATTTTTGTTGGCATAAGTTTCAAAGAAGTAGTCCCTATAAGCTGACACACCTCAGCCCTTTGGGAGGGGATGCCAGGAGCAGGATAGGCAAGCTGGGAATACAGAGGTCAGAAACTCCTCAGTGTTGATTCTGCAGTATGTCTACGCTGCCCCTGCCAAGGGGGACAGGCAAGGCATAAAGCACCTGTAACCCACAACAGCACTGCCCCTGCAGCAATGCAGGATGAAATAAAACCTGTGGGCTGAATCTACCTGAATGCCAGCTTTTGGGGGGCAGGTTTTGCCCATGGCAACGCTCCTTCCTTTCTTAGGGCAGGGTTTGGCCCGTTAGAATTACACAAGAAATGGAACACCATGTCTCAGCCTGACACAGAAAATACCTCAATTATAAACTGCAAAATGACTGTATTGTGTTCATTTGCACTTATGACCTAGTTCATTTTAAATCAAGTGAGAGCACACATTAATTCTAATTAATCACAGATAACAGGTGAGAGCACAGTTCAGTGTTACCTGTTCCCAGGTCTGGGCACTTGCGACCCTGACTTGGCAGTCCCAGAAACCATCCTTCACTCTGCTTTTCCAGAGGATGGCTAGGCCCTGTGAGCACAAACAGCCCCGCTGTCCTGCTTGGTCTTCCCTATCACACATTCCCATGCAAATACTCCATTCAGATATTTCTACAAGGCGTTGGCTTTAAAACAAACAGGGAAATAAACCAAATGTCTCTTACTCCAGCAGGATCATAGTAGTGAAGATATGCAGGGTCCTCTCTTAAAACAAACTTTCTCACTTTCCAGTTCTTCCTCCGATGTCCCTAGGAAAATTCAAAAACAGGAATGTCGTGAGCTGCTTTGCCTGCAAGCGCTTACCATCAGCTTACCCACACATGAGAGAACAGGCAAATACAAGTGGGAAAATACTGAATATTTTGGACAGGAAATATTCACTGGAGTAGGACTTGAACCTGGCCTTTCTGCATCCCACTGTTTTGCACAACAACTGGGCTATCACACTGGTTTCTCTTTTTATTTTTTGTGCAAAGTAGAACAGCTTCAACATGGGAGATTCCCCTAAACACATCTCATAGTCTGGTAGCTATGACATTCACATGAGGTCTGTGAGAACTGGGCTTAAATGCTTGCCAGAAAACATGGCAAGAAGGACCTGAAGGTTCTTCTCTCCCTGCAAGGACAACAACAACAACAACAAAGGCGTATCTGGCTCAAGCACCCTGGAAAGGGTTCGTGGCTGAGAAGCTTAAGCAGAAATAACACCACCTTCCAATATGGATGTAGATGCCTCATTGCTTTCAGCAGATCTAGATTTTCCCCACCCATCATTTCAGTCTTGGAAACAGGCAGTCTCAGCAGCAGCAGTGACACTTCCAAGTAATGATCCACAACTCACTGGTGACCAAATCCAGACTAACACTGGTGGAGGACTGTCATGAACCACTTCCTCTCAGAATTGAGAAACTAATATTTTGAAATGAACTACGCTGTCTCCAAGGAAGCTCTTGCTAACTAGGCAGAGGTGAATGTTACAGGGTAAAATTTAGCAGAAAGACGCATAGGTAATTTCTTCCGTTGCTTTTGAGTAATCTGATTGAGCAAGAGAACTACAAGTGAGCACCACCAAAAAGTTCGTAGGCTCCCAAGGGATATTTTAACAGTGGAAGTTCAAACTTGATATTAGGAAACATTTCTTTACAGAGAGAGTGGTCAAACACTGGAACAGGCTTCCTAGAGAGGTGGTCGATGCCCCAAGCCCGTCAGTGTTTAAGAGGCATTTGGACAATGCCCTTAATAATATGCTTTAACCTTTGGTCAGTCCTGAAGTGGTCAGGCAGTTGGACTAGATGATCGTTGTAGGTCCCTTCCAACTGAACTATTCTGTTCATTGAAGAATCCTGGTCTTGCCTTCAAGTTCACTAATATCTGTTTGCAATGGCCTCAGAAAGTAAGGATCTTACCATGACGTTCACTGTATTGCTTAAAGTTTTGCTGGAAAGGAAGGTATACAGTTATCTTCCATCTTACAGAGGGGACAGGATCAAACATTAGTGAGTGAAAGGACTCCTTTGCTCAGGTATGCTGAAAAAGCCTGTGAAAACTGCCAACTGAATCCAGTTGTGTGTCCAAAGGGACACTGGCTTGGCAGCCTTTTTACCTGAGTTCAGTTCTGCATTGTACCAATGACTTGTCACATCTCCTGCTTTAGCACTCTTTCCTAATTAAAACTATAAACTGTCTTATTTCGTAATAAGAGCAATAAACCTTGCAATGTTGGGCAACAGCCTGCTGTCATGCTACAGCAAGCTTTCTTTGTGCAAAGGCAAGAGGGACAGAGGTGAAACCTGTCAAGTGTGGAGATGGCATAGGCTAGTTTCTCTCTTCTCTAAAGCTTTTAGGTGTAAAAGAGTAATCTTGTATCCATGCAACATCATCCCAGTGACAGGATGGAACACATACAATACTGACCTGTTTCAGCAAACATCCTTGTTTGACTACTATGCCTCTGAATTCTTCTTTCAGGACCACATCATCATCACTAGAATTTCCCTCGCAGAAAAACCCACTGTCTGGCTGCATGACCACAAGAGAAAATTCAAAAGTTACACAGCTGCTGCATGTTTATGTACATGTACAAATCTGGCTTCTCTTTGGCTTCCCTCCACCCTGTTTTTTGCCACCCAAAAAATCAACCCTTTCACTGGAAAAATCTCCCAATGAAGTTGAGGAGCTCTCCAAGTCACCACAGAAGCGTTTCAGTGTGAGGTAGGACTACACCAATGAGTCTCAGGGCATCTGAATAGAGCTGGAGCATCCATCTATATGTCAGTGTCTCCATTCTCCATGATTCTTGGTGTCACGTTTCCTCCATGATGGTCAGGCTGCCTCAATCCCATGTTGTCACAGGGTTTTAAATGCACAGACAGCAGTTCATATAAAGCAATGCCAGCACAGCCAATACACTCCAGGCTGGCCAGCCCTGCACCCAACAGACCCTTCCTCTTCCATCCATCACAACCATCTAGAATTTGGGAAGAAGAAATGCTCCATCTAGGCTGCCTTCTCCAACAGCAAGAACTGGCCCTAGTTTTTTAAATTCGCAATTTTCTGTAGCTGTGATGATGTGATGTGTGCACTGAGCATAGGCTGTCTCAGGATCCATGCATCACATCCATTCCACACCAGATAAATTGTGATGCTACTTACTGAAACCTTACACTGTTCAAATGATGTAAATGTAGGCAACCATTCGTATGGCTTAGAGTAAACATCTGTGCTGCCTACTTGTATGAGAGCAAGTCAGACATTGACCTGCTGTGGCATTCTCACATCACATTGGTATTGAATCAAACTAGAAACAAGCTGAAAGCAAGCAGAGCGCACATGGGCTGCTAGGAAAAGTGTCCCAGGTAGCCAGGAACTGTGATGGCCACAAGGCTGCCTTCACCAGCAGTGTCTCTGCTTCCACTGCTGCACAGGTAAAGTATCAGGGCCACATTCTTGGAAAACAAATGAAGTAATGGGACATTCATTTTGCTGAAGTCGAGTGATTCTATGTGGTAACTATAAACAGAATTGTAATATTTAAGCATTTTACTTGACAGAAGGCATACTTTTATTACTTCATTACTTATGAACATAAGTTCATAAGCCAAACATCTTTAAAATAGTATTTGACTGTGATTGTGATATTGCAAGTTCTTCAAATCAATCTACAGAATATGAAGCAATAAATTGAAAAGGTTGGGTAAGCTACCCAGGACAGATGTTTATCCTGGTTTTGGCTGGGATAGAGTTAATTTTCTTCCTAGTAGCTGGTACAGGGCTGTGTTTTGGATTTAGTATGAGAATGATGTTGATAGCAACAACTAAAACATCAGTGTGTTAAGTCGTGCTTACACTAGTCAAGGACTTTTCAGCTTCTCATGCCCTGCCAGCACAAAGCTGGGAGGGGGCACAGCCAGGACAGCTGACCCAAACTGGCCAAAGGGATATTCCATACCATGTGACATCATGCTCAGTATATAAACTGGGGGAAGTTAGCTGGGCATCCGTCAGCAGGTGGTGAGCAACTGCATTTTCCCTTCTTTCTGTTTTTTCCTATTATACTGATATATCAGTATATTTCCTATATACTGATTTTTCCTATTATACTGTCTTTATCTCAACCCACAAATTTTTTTTTTTTCTCTCCGATTCTCTCCCCCATCCCACTGGGAGGTGGGGAGTGAGCAAACGGCTGTGTGGTGTTTAGCTGCCTGCTGGGTTAAACAACAACAGTGTTATTGGCAGATATTAAAAACTTTTGCTTCTCTGCTCACAGGCAAGCTCTGTGTGTGTGCGCGCGCGCACACACGCGCTGAGTCAGATTTGATGGCTCTGCACAAAAATGGGTTTGTACCTCGTGCCACTCTGAGAAGCCCCATGATAATGAATTACTCTCTTCCCTTGCACTGAATCATCAGGTGAACTGATGGCTAAATTCTGGTCGCTGGTGAAATTACCAGGAACAAAGTCTAAGTTAAAAAGAACCCAGCTCGATCTCAGAACTCAGTTCACACTTACAAGAGTGCCAGAAAAAAAAGTCCTGCTTACAAATATTAAAGTGAGCCAGTTCATTCTGAGTATCATGTAGAGAAAGACAATTAACATGGATCTCTCCATTTCTGTACAATCTTTCCTCCAGGACTTAAGAAACCCAACAAGAAGCCTGAGAAAAGCAGAGCATCAGCAAGTCTGGGACAATAAAAAAACCAGAATACTCACAAAGTAATAGTAGGCATCACTAAGATCTAAGAAGGGGATGTCTGACAGTCCCTCGGCAGCAGCCTTGGATGTATCCCCTGCAGGCTGTAGGTAGCCTTCACTCAAGAGGGAAGAGGCAAGCATAAGACCTTCTTTGCGATTTCGGATGGAGTTGCTAGACACCAGCCAGTCAATCACAGAGGTGCCTGGTTACAAAGCAACAAACAATATCAGCCACAAACAAAGACAGACATGATGAAGCCTAAAAATACACAGGCAACAAGCCTACTCCATCAATTCATCAATCTCCTGAAAGATGTTCTTAGTGACAACGCAGAGAGATAATCTGGAAAGATGCCTGGGTCATCCAGTGAGGTACAGCCGATCCAACTGATGGCAGGGGCCAGTACAACTCTTGAACACTGTACCTGAGGGAAAAGAGAGCTGGGAGGGGATGAAGGGCTGAGCTGGGAAGCCTCAGGGACAGGGACTGGGGAAGTACGAAAGGCAGCCACGCCTGGAGAAGGCAGTCTTCCAGGCTGCTATGTTAACTGACACAGTGCTGTCGAAACAGGGTGACTTTCAACTCTAGCACCCACGGATTTGACTCGGAGCAGGACAGGAATTACAATGTGACACAGTTTGTTGATGAAAAATTCAGAAAGGAATAATTCTTCTGGAGTTAAGTGTTTCATGCAATTTTGTACGAAGATCTACTTCAATCTTTCTGGCACTGGTTAAATTCTTCCTCCTCTCTTGCTTACCATGGCCATAACTGAACGCTTTTTCAAGCTTCATCCTTTGAGCACCTCCTGTGTTGGTCAAGAAAACATCTGCCAGGTTTTCTTCTCAAAATTCTCTGTGCTCTACAGGGCTTAGAGCTGTTTTATCTATCTTTAGCCTCTCATCCCTGTGCTCCCTTTATTGTATGGAAAAGAGGGACAAGAGCTCCTTACCTGTAAAGCAGTGATTGAACACTTTTTTATCTTTTTCCAGCTTCAACTCCTTTATTCCCTTTTCAGGGTCTTTCATTGAGAGGTACAGAGCACTGTGCATAAAAAGAACCACAGAAACTGTTAGCAAATAAAAAGCTTTAGCCAGTTCGTACAATAATATCAGTCATTCACGAGGTCTTGATGTTTTGATGGCATATTGCTCTCTGCAGAGCTATAGCATGGCTCAGTTTAATCTCCTGAAAAATTTACATTGCAAAGCCTGGAGGCCTTTGTGACACCACTGTCACAGCTGCAGGAGCAGAGTGGGGAGTGCACAAATGGCTCACCACACCCCCATATTTTGAGAATGGAACAACTTGTGGTGACTGTAGTGTGAACAGAGGAACACCCACTGCTGAGACACCTTCACAGGGCCCCACAGCCTTGGCGCCAATAGGGGAGCTCACTGCTTTGCACTATGTTCCCCCAAAGGTCCTTGGCTGAGCGGAAAACCTGTCACTGTGACACCTCCAAGTCCTGCATGCTCTCAGAGGACCTAAGTAACCTCAGTGAACCCTGGTGTGACTTCCTTCCTCCCACACGCTTTTCACTTGCTCAGAACTCTCATCCCTTGGAGCTCTGGAATGACAAGAAGGATGAATATTAAATGTCACAGGCTAAGTCCTTTGGCCTGTTAGTCAGGGTGATCCTCTGCTGGAGCCTGTGAAGTCAGATTTAGGTGGATCTTGGCTCTGTGCGGTTTTACTGTCTTGTAAGGAGCACTGCAGGCTCATTTGTATCTTGGTATTTAATTCTCAGAGGCAAAAAATAAGTTGTCCTTAATTTTTTAAAGTACTGACAAACAGATGGCTTCCTGTATGTGTGCCCTTTCTCTCTTCTCCCTTTGCCAGTTCCAAGTTCTCTGGCAGGCACACCACTCTCCCCTCACCATCCAAAAATTACGCTAACATCAGCGTTTCTCCGGAAAGCAAACAAAAGGTTTAAAATATTTTTGCAATAAATCATATATTGTATAAAAACGCCTCTCCTGGAAGAATCACACTTTGGCTGGGGTCTCCTTTTGTACTGCAGTGTGCTCCTTATCAGCAAAATCCTTTGATAAATAAGTACATTTTGGTAAAAGATGATGTATTAAAAATGATCTTCCCAGTTCTGATCGCTAGCTCATTTCTGCCACATTGTACGCTCTGAAACTGTTAGTCATGCAGAACGGACTCTGAGTGAAACCAGAGAGGTAGCATGGACAGACATGCTCATAGCTCTTCCAGACTGAGGTTACATATCTGGCACACTGCCTGCGGATAGAAGTAAATGGGGAACAAACCTCAGGTTGATTGTTTCAGGCAGTCTGATAGACTTCCTTGTGGATTTTCTGGCAAACCTTTGGCCTCCATCTATGCAATGAATTGCTTTCTTGATATCCCGTACCCAGGCATCTCTCTCCTCCAGATAGGCAGCTTGAAAAAAGTGGTCCTGCTGCTTGGCCGCAGTGAGCTTGAAGACAAACTGGAATGACAAATGATGTTTTTTTAAAAGTTACTTTGGTGTAGCCAGTTGGGCACGATTAACCTAGCACCACCACAACATACAGCCTATCTGTGCCTAAGGGACTATGGAAAGTGCCTTTGAGCCACAGTCAAATTAAAAAAAACTTTGAAGAAAAATATGAACTGGCAGTGCAGGTAACTGAGTCCTTTTGTTATTTCCCCAGGAGCGATCCTGATGTTGTCAGTACAGCCAAGGTGAGTGGCACTGATATAGCCATTGATTTTTTTTGCTGGGAAGTTCAACACAGCTGAAAGGCTGAAGTGCCCAGCTCCTGCAGGCTTACAGTGGGTGTGAATTTGTCTTAATGTTTAGAGAGATGTGGTCAGTCTGAAGGAGGAAAAAAAACCCACATCATGTTGCTCAGCTACTGATTCACAAGGGGAGAAAAGGTCGCAGCCACATTGGAGAGTAGCTGAACACACGTGCAGCCTAGCAAACTTTTAAGGGCTTGGTAGGGATCATCTCCCTACCATTAGACATCCAACCCTTGGCTACACCTTATGATCACTACCTATCTAAACACACTAGCAACAATGGAAAGACTGTATTTCCCAAAAATGAGAAAAGATCCTTTAAAGGTAGTTCTAAGCAGAAAAAAACAACACCAACCTGAAAAAAAAACCCACAATGTTCACAGTTTGATCTCTGTTTCATCCAGTGATCTTTTGGATGGAAAATCTGCATCTAATTACTCACGCAAGAGGGTTTCCACTTCCTCTAAAATATAGTTCCCCATAAGTGGAACTGTAATTTGTTCTGTAGTTGTATTAGAATAAATACAACAGGTTCTGACTCAGCAGGCATCTAAAAATGACAGGCTAATCAGCAAGCAAACAGCATGGCTTTATGAGGGCAAGTAAAGCAGAGACTATCGTCAAAGAGCAGAGCGCAGTGAATCTACAGCAATGAAATCACAACACTGAATGAATCTACTGAAGCCCGCGTTTGTAAACGGCACATTTCTGCACATCCCTAATATGCATCTTCCAGACTGTTGCCAATGGGAAAAATTCTGACACCCTGAAATTGCACAGAAGTCCCACTGACTTTCATGGAAGACAGATTTCAAATTTACAAAGCAGTGGGTCCTCAAAAATCCATTTCAAACAGAAAAGTAACTACTTATCTGACACTGTTCATATTTCCAGCAACACCCACCTTTTCTATTATGCAGGAAAGAGCTACATCCTGAAAATCAATGTACAGCACATGTGAAAAGCAAACAGACAGATCTCTGTCTGCCAAGAGTCATGCTAATACACCAGATTAACAGAATGAAATATCAAAGCATTAAAGCAAGCTTTTGCCAAAGGAAAAATCAGCATTCTTGAAGCCAAAGAGCTGAGAAGCAACGTACAGTGAAATGCTAAAGAAGAGTTTTCATTATCAGTACACAGAGGAGACTGGGAAAGCTCTTTCTCTTAACTTTAGGTTTTAGAAAGCTAGGCCACTAAGCTAGACATCCAGGCTTCCTCTCAAATTGGTGAAGAGGTTGAGTCTCCAGTCCTAGAAGTGACCAAGTCTCCCTCTGATGATGCGGATCTGTTTGTGCTTTTGAGAAAATTAGACCATTAGACTGAACTAAGCACCAACATTTTAGATAGTCAGATTCATTTCTCCTAACTTAAACTATGAGCAACCTCATAGTTTAAGCATGGTTGTTAAGCAACCATGATAATGCTATCCACAGGAAAGCCATGGGGAAAATAGAGAAAGCACAAGTATAGCAGAATCAACATCCCATTAGGCAATGGTCAAACTTCAGATCAAGAACAGCGAACAGTGGTGAATGCATTTTGAAATAAAAACTCAAAATATGCAGTTGCAGCCTCTTCTGAAGAGGCTATATCTCCGTTTAAAAAATCCAAGATTGCTTCCTTTCCCCTCAGCACCTGCTTTTTGCAACTGATTTAGTAAATTAGTAATTAGTGTGTTGGTGATGTGCCCTGAGGTTTCAAGCCTGGCCCTGATGCAGATACACAAGCCAATTCAAAAAGCTGAAATCTAACCAGATGAATATAAAAGTCTGCTCATGGCTCGATAGTCCCTGCTCCAAACTGGGCCCAAGTGAGTGAGACTGGACTTAAAACTGACCTAATGACAATTATCCCACTTTTCACCCTACAGAACTCCTGTCCTAAAAATATACTTTCATTTCTAGCCATATGAAGTAAATGTATGCAAACCACTAAGAACCAAAATAATTCCCATAAGAGGAAGAACTGTATGTTTTGGCACATAACCAAAGAGAAGGCGGGATGGAATGCAGAGGCATTGGATTCAGCAGTATAGTAAAGCTGTAGAATGTAAAATACAAAAATCGAGATATTACATTTTCAAGGAATACATGTAGAAATTTAGGTTTAATCATATTGGGCAGTAACTACTTGTAAGAACAATCCCAGTGACAGGGTTGCTCATATGAATGAGCGTGTTGCAGTTTTGACTGTTTGAACAGTGCAAATTTTAAGAGAAAATATGTATCTAGGGCTATTGGTCTATGGACTTGCAGAAGGATCTCGCCAACAGGAGGATCTGCTCCAACACCTGCTGAAGTCATCTGGATCGCTTCCACTGACTTCAGCAAACTCTGTATTAGACCTTACTTAAGAAAAAGTGTTTTGGGTGCCTCAACCCCCAGGTCTGAGATCCTTCCTTTTTTCTCTATTCTCCCTCAGAAAAGGCCCCAGCAACTAAAATGAAACATAGTGTAAAACTCATAATGTAAAATGAAGCATAATGTAAAACTCATTGCAGTCAAAGGAACGATCCTCAAAGACTTCATCAGCCTTCACTACAGACGCAACGCATCTTCTGCAAACTGGTACATCCTCAAGCAATCCTTTGGGCAGGTGAGGATCTCTCTCACTCTGCCTTCAGCAGACATCGGGTACTTCAGACCTCTCTGCCTATTTTGTAGAATGCACATACGCTGGTGAATTACCTTTTCATTATTGTTAAATGTGTTACTGTTACTGACATTTCCAAGCAACTACTACAGACCAATACTGATGTCAGTGCCTCTGTGGGAGTTAAAAAAACCAAACCAAAAAAAACCAAACCAGAACTGTTTGGAAAGGAATGCTTTGTGAGAAAAACTTAATTTCCGCCATTATAATGTAGGATCTATGATACTCTTGAACATAGTACCTTTCTCCCCATGCATTATACCTCATGTATAGGGTAAGGAGTGCTGTGCTGAGGCTTGTTAATTAGATAATGTAGGAACATGGTTTCAAATCAGCACAATTAGAACTAAACGTGTGCAGATATACTTAATTTCTGTTCCTTTATTTGGTTATTTAATGTTCCTGCCCCGTGCTCTAGTCGCTAGATGTAATTATGCTTCACCTTTATTATTCATGGTTTGCAAAAGATGTAAAGCCAAGTGCTGTAACGAAGAGCTCCCAGCCGGCGCCCAGGCAATGCACTGACACACAGCCATGCTGGCTGAAGCAGAAGGTCAGATCCGAAGCTGCAGGGGTTAAACAGTACGGTTTGCTTAGCCATGCCCAAGGGTGGCTCAGGCAGGGGCTGTTAGCAATAAGGAAGAGTAAATGGGCTTGACCAGCAGTCAGTCTCAAACCCTTCTGAATCAGTTGGACAATCGCCCTCGCCAGCTCAGGGATCAAAAAAAACTATGACCGGCATGGGGTGGGAATGCACGATCATGCAATTCTCCTCCCAGGCATGATAAAACAGTCTCCTTCTGTGGACAACTCCCAGTACCTAGAGAGAGCTAGGAAGAGCAGGTAGCTCTTGATGATCCTGCTCTGGGTGGGATTTCCAAGGTAATGGCCCTCTAAAACCTTTTGTTCCCAGGAGAAGCAGCACGGGATTAACAGCAATCTTTATTCTCTGCCCCACCCTTTTATTGTGCTGCCTCAAAGAGAGCTTTTATGTTAAGAGCCCCTTTTTCTTAACAGAAGTAAGTCTAAAAAGACTCCATAAGAATCAACTTTTTTTTCATATAAATATGGGGTCTGCACAAAGAAGAAAAAAAAAGAAAAAATAAAAGAAAGAAAGAAGTAGAAGAAAGAAAAGAAGAAAGGAAGGAAAAAGGAAAGCCAGCAGGTCCAAACCTGACACCAGGGACCCAGACTCCACTTACCACAAAACCTAAGGACAGGTATAATTCTCCTCACTTTACTCATATGACAAAGCGAAGCTTGCTCTCTCATGCACTCTCTTACACTTTCTTTCTATTTTTCTAATGCTCTCAGAGACTTATATCTTTAGTCAGGCATCCTTGCAGTAAATTCCTTTAAACTGTAATTGGATAATCTTCCAGATTCTGGGGGACCACTTTGTCAGAGGGATTCCTGGGGGTATAATGCCTATTTGATGAAACTGAGTTGCTGAAATAACAAATGACTGACTAAAGATACGATTCTGTGCTCATACTAGAAATCCTGTTTTACCAACAACTATTTTTCAGGAACTCTATAACAAAATATGTATGCTTGTACATTTATCTTCCTGTATCTATTTTCTGTCAAATAAGACTCTGAATTTGTGAATATTGAAACACAGGGTGATCTGTGTGTTTCACTGGGAATTGGGACCTCAGTCTGTGCACTTGCTACCCTTGGCCTTAGGGATCCCAAATGTATAGGCAACATTTGAACTACTTTCTCTAAATCAGTTTTGGTTTTTGCTCTCTCTCTGAGTGTAGATGTGACTCTTAGTCACTTGCCAAAGCCCTACAAGTAACAATGCAGTGTGCAATTAACACAGATTGCATGAATGTGAAGTGTGTGGGGTCGGGTAGTTACCAAATGTTAATAAAAAGGTTTGGAGTTACAGCTTTACTTGGGCATTTGTGTCACAGCATTTATCTCCTTCCTGTCTGAGCAAGCCAGTTGTTGCTCTTTGACAATAAAGAAATGCTTCCACTGCTCATAAAATAGATTCCCACACCTTTATTCTGTGGCAGCTAGATTTATATTTAATACAGGAGTTGCGCCATTCAGCTGCTAAGTGTCCTCACAACAATATAATTTAGCTTTGCTCTCTGACAGACTCAGAGATTTAAAAAAAAAAAAATCACTTTCCGAGTTGCTCCTCTTAAAGTATCCTGAATTTTTCCTAAGCAGTCACACCTTTCAAATACCACACAAGTCCAAGCCTGCTTGTGACCTTCTAAGACAAGTGAGAGTTGCCACTAGGATGAGCGTAAGGAATTTGTAATCACCAGCCTTTTGCCCCTTCGGTGCTGCCAGGAGTATAAGTATGCTGTCAATCATTGTTATAAAAAAAAGTACTTACCATTCTTTTGCCAAAATCTTGGCATGGGCTGTTAATAGAGCTTCCTTTTAGTGGGACCATCCCTTTGGGGCTGTTGTCAGCCTTCCGCTTGTAAAATTCAATTCCATCTTCTAAGAGCACGACCCACATTGGCTTCCAGGTATTAAACATGCTGCCCTGCATCAATAAATCACTATGTATGTTATGTTCAATAAATCACTCTTCACATGGCATCCACTGAAGATATGACCTTCCAGGGAGTGTCTGACTGACTAAAATAATTACAGTTAGTGTCTCAAGGGGAACATACCACAACCGCACCCATCTTACTATGCAGTTAAAAAACATTGTTGTTATTCTTCTGACCACAATTAATTTCCCCTGGTAGTCACCCCAGCCATGAGTTTTTCCAAAATTACATTGCCTGCCCCAGCAGGTGTTTCTTTTCAGTATCAGTTAGTGTCAACCACTGTCTTCAAGATGACATAGTGGCAGTATTATAAATAATCCTCAAAATTTCTGGATGTGAACTGGCACATTAGGACTGTCTTATTAACTTGGGCATCTTGTGCTATATTTAGGACTTGATGCTACAATACAGTCAGTCATTGAAGCTTAACTGTCTGATAAGAAAGCACACATCTCAGAGGATTTCTAGACATGTAAGAACAAACTGTGAGAGTAATGAATAGTTTAAGGGCCTGAGGCTGCAGATCTCCAACTGCTGTGGTGAGGAATTGAAGTGCTTCATTTCATCTTTTAAAGCTTTTACTTCCTATTCCTGAAACACAGCTGTTAGATGCAAGAAATACAGAGCTAAAGACAGGGCCGGATCCTACATATAGTGAAACACACAGCAAAACTCTCAGGGACTCAGAGAGGAATGACTTGTTTCTCTGTATTGAGTATGATTAACCGCTAGAATTAAGACTGTTGCACTCTAGCTAGATGACCTCTCTGGTCCTGCCTGCAACCAGCTTCAAAAGTGGTCACAATCCCAGATACCCAAGTGACTCACTGCTCAGCCAAATGAACATTTAGATATGCTGAATACCAACAGTTCCTCTGAAGAATTACCAAAGCACAACCAATATTTGTGGGCCCCAAATCAGAGGCCATCCTTCAAAAATATTAGTTTCCCTTGCTCTTTCTGTTACAAAGAGAGACCTAAATTTATTTTCCCCCTCCTACAACTCCACCCACAGCATCCCTGTCCTGTTCAGACCATGGTGCCTGAGCAGTGCTAAAGCTGCAGACAGAAGCAAGGCAGCCACTGTTGTGCTGTGCAAATGGCTTGTTTTGATTTGTTAAACCTGAGAGGTGGACAGAGTTAGTTTCATTTTGTATTTCTGCAGAAGTGAATGGGACAGAAACATGCAGTCTTTTTCTTTTTTTATTCTCCAAATGAACACTTTGTGTGTCACATCCTTTTTTGCTGCCCTACCTCCCAAGAAAGGCCTTTTGCACTCTGAATCAGACCTTAGGTTCAATTACAGGGTGGGGAGCGAAAACTGTCAGCCGAGATCTTACTAAGATCCTCTTATTAAGAAGCTGCTGCAGCCCTCACTGGAAGCAGGAGGTGCCCCACAAATAAATGCTACCTTCCAAAGGAAAGTCACTGCCCTGGGGGTTCTCTGGAAACCCAGCTAAACAGGGAACTACAAAAAAGAGTCTCATCTGGGTACCACATATGGGTTGACTGCTGTTTTCTTTTGATTCTTTTTTTTTCTTAAAGCCATAAGAATTTACCATTTTTTGAGAGCCCAAATTGACCCACTGGTTGATTTTCTGCTAAGAAATCAATTAAGATGATGAGCCAAGACAAGAACTGTTGCAATTTCCTTTTGTTTGTGGGTTTACCACAGGTTACAATACTTCTGCTCATAAACAGACAAGTCCAGTGCTTGAAGACCAGACTCTGACATGCTCTGCCAATGGAAGCCACCGTGGAACAGTGTTAGACTGGCAGTCTCGGATCCATACCATCAGCAAACCCAAACATGGTCACATTGTTCTCATCTAAAACATCTCATGAAAGACAAGCAAGCAGGATGCTGGATTTGATTTCCCTGGACTAAAAATCAAATTGTCACACCTACTCCAAAGACTGCAGATACAGACGGGTGTTCCTTGAATTGCTCTCTGAAATCATTAGCCACTTTAAAAACACACACAACTTCCCTTTGGTAGAACAACTTCTTTTTATAACATCTGCAGCACTACAAGATTAGAAAATGAGCTGTTTCTTATGCTCAGATGACACAAGGTCCCCAAAATATACAAACAGAGGTTTAAGCTGTCCTAAATCAACACAAGTCTGAACCCACATTTACTGGAGATCACATTGTCCCAGCTAAAGCACTGACCCCCAAGCACAGCACCGTTCCCCAGCCTAATGTAAATATCAAGAGGAGAAAGTCAGTGACAAATGGCTTTCACTCTCTGCAAAGAGAGCTGTGGCTGCATGGATGACTCCTTTGGGAGGTCAAATGCTTGGTTTCACTTTACAGGTATAAAGGAGAGGAGGAGAGTACATAATTAGCAAGTAAAGTTAATCAGGAGTATGCTCGTCCTTGCTGGAAGCTCTAGTTGTGGAATTCACAGCCTCACTGATGTATCAACCAGCTTGTACCTGTCTGATCTGTATCTTCTGCTCCTTTTGCCCTCCAGCCCTTCCTCTAGCACACTGCTGCTCCCCACCACCAGCATAAGCTCACTTCTGTAAGGACAGAGCCACCTACGAGGCTCTTCTAGGAAATGGGCACAATTTCCACTTCCCTGTTGCCATTGCAACAGCACCCAGCAGCAATTTCAGTAGTACCTGCACAGAGAGACTTTTTAGGGACCCAGCACCCACAGGAATGTGAGGGACTGACACTAGCACATCCATATGCATCTTTTCCCTGGCGTACCCAGCCAGGCACACAGTTTGGGATTGTCCCAGTGTCTAAGTTTTCAGCCATTCCCCTGTCATGGAGGAATACAGATCATGAGCCGCTTGCTCTATATATCAGGCCATTGGAACTAGAGATCTGCAATCTGCACAGCACAAATTTGGCTCTCTCCTTCCTCATGACAGCATCACTGCAGCTTTGTGACTACTTTATGAACTTCCTTTCAGTGTCAGTGGAAATAAGACTGAGGAGCGGCCTCTTCACAGCACTGATCCCAGATTAGAGATCCCTCCAGCCAGCTGTTCTAATGAGTGAAATTCTCATTTTGATGAGCAGAGACACCACAGGAGAGAGCTCCTCTCTTGCTCCAGGACTGACACTGTTTAGTTAGGCTGCTTTAAGCCAGACTGATCTCACTAAGGATTTAAATGACAGTCAAGGCCTTATCCTATTGGCTCTACCACAAAAGACTCCAGAGCAGAGGTTGCTGTGGGGCAGCGACTGCCTTCCCAAAGAAAGGAAGTGCCCGTGGCCCCACACACTGTCTCTAGGCCAAGGACATCTGACCTCTTTAACCTCATTATGCTTCCTTGATGTTTAATTCATCGATTAAGTGCAATCAAATAGGCTGTGGCCATTTCAAGCTGTAACCTGTTTTGCCAAACCTCCACTAAAGGCATTAGGTTACTTAAAAAAAATACAAATCTTTTGATCCAAAGGTACATCTGAGATATATGCAAAATGCCTTATGTAGTATTCTGACAAGATATAACTGCTAGCAAGTACCTCTATAATCACTAACACCACATTGTTCTACTGCTCAAGGAATTCTGTTCATTTGCCTTTTCTTTTTGGAAAAAATGATCCCTTTTTTAATAACTGAAACCAAAGTATGTTTCCCTACACCTCCTCAACCTGTTCAGAGTTATCTTCCTCCTCCACTCAGTCCAAAACTGCCCACTTACCTTCTTAACCAAGTAGCCCTCCCTTATGCGCATCGGTTCTCGCTCCATGTCTCAGGCAATCCTCTTCTCAGGTCTATCAGCGCTGGCAGTTAAGTTCCTCTGGCAGCAAAGTCTGTGGGCTAGCGTTTTTACAGTACAGCTGTGTCACTTTCACAAGTTCCTCTGCCTGCTAATCACATGAAAACAAGCCCATTTCCTCTTACAGAGTGAGAGATAGGGAAACGCAGAAGCACATGTGTATTTATAGTTTGCCTCTGACAGAAAAGGCAACAGCCTGACAAAACACTCAACTGTATCAAATACGGCCAGCCTTGATGACAAAGTCCTGGGAAATTAAATAAGCATTTTAGTGCCCAATCCCAAGAAATCAGGCCCACTCTGCAAATACATAAACTCTACCAAAATGACAAACATGGTGGCGTACTGTGTTGCTGCTTGGCAGCACATGCCAAAAGGATCTCAGAGACAGGTTTCCAACTCACCGGTTCTGTCACTTCATCACGTCTTCAAAGTCTGACTCCCAGTGGGTGAGCACGTGGGGTCTGGCAGCGAGCTGGAAGGCCCTCGCTTGGTTAATGATGATGCGCCCTCTGCTGATACAAGAAATTCGTTTATCAGATTTGATCAGGTTTTGGAGTTTGATGCTGAGGCCTCCCAAAGAGGTTAGCTGTCAAATAGGCATAAACGGATTAGACCAGCACATTACATAAAGCACTGCAGAATGTCACCTTCTACGAGCATCTTTTACTTGCTGCAGAGCTCATTTGGCTATATTTGGTAAAAGATAAGGCAAACTCATAATTTTCCACAAGTTGATATATACCAGAGTCACAATCCCTCTTCCCCATACAGAAGGAAGGGTGGTGGTATATGGGAGGCAATAAGGAGGCTGCTGCATTGCCAAGAGCAAAGTATTCTCCCTTGCACAAGACTCCAAATCACTTTTACAGCTGAGCCCATTCAGATAAGGGTTGAGCCCAGGGTTACTCCACCTGTCACCTCCGCCACTTGTAAAGATCCCCAAACAGGGACTTTTTCCGCAGACAGAAATTCCTGCTCTCCATTTGACTCTGTCTCAGCCTTTACTCAGAAGTATACACAAGTCTGACAAGGTCTGTGATAGAGGCTCAGAACGTTAGAAGAGCCCTCAGAGACCTTCTCTAGCCATTCCTCCCTGATGCCTATTTAGTGGTTCTCCCACAGATGAGACTCCAACTCCTTCCTTCATTTTCTGTATTAGTGCTTCACTATTCCAGCTACTGAATGTTTCTCCTCACTGTCTGAATTGAGATTTTCCTTTCCAGACCTTTCTCAACTAGCTCTGCTTAAACGACCCTTCCAGTCTCATCTTCAGGCAGAGCACCTGTCTGTACCAGCAATCTCAGGCTATACACTTTGCAGCGTGTTCTGCCCAAAGCATACCTTTTTGTGATACTTTTATGTATTTTTAGGTTGTTTGGATTTTGTTTCTAGAACCCACAGAGTCTCAGTACATTGTTCCTTTGCTCACATAAATCACGCTATTGTGAGGATCTGATTGCTATTGAAGGCCCTAGTTGCTGACAAAGCCAATCATCCATTAGGCAGTTTGCAAATCAAAGATTCAATATATGCTTTCCAGTTCTCTGTCAAGTGTACTTGACATCAGTCAACAGATTCTAAAATTATTAGAGACACAGAAACTCACACATAGCTAATAAAAGCTTCATGCTCTTTGAAAACCAAGCTAAAGTTAAAATTCATCACTAAAAAGTGATCAGAAAGCTTTGTGTCACGTTTACAGTAAAGAATCTGCCTACCAGTCCCAAGGCCTGGAATGAATTGAAGATGCTTTCCAGAGTTGAGAGGATCCAACTGAATTTCTGAGTTATATTTCTGTGAAGGCTCCCTTCATTTCCCATAAGCCTTAAAATAATGCTTGATGGACTCAGGAGCTTGTAGACTCCTCCTGTATAATGACCTTAAAGCAAAATTCCTTTTGCTTTAAGAAGGTGAATTATTTCCTTCTCTTCCCTTTCATTCCAGTGGTTCCATCTTTGGAAAAAGGTACGCTTTTTTTTTTTTGCTCTGATTGGATAACCCAAAAATACAGGTCATAGACAATGACAACTCAAATTAAATACCTTTCACTGTATGGCGGGAAGCCAAACTATCCCTTTATTAGCTGACTTGAGGCCATAATGCTACAGAGCCTGGGGCGAGCATTGGAGAGCAAGAACTGGTGCACAGTTAGCTCTTCCTTCTGTCTCTACCTTGCTGCCCCTCAGACCTGAGAAAAGAAAACCCCTTCCCCAGCTGGAAGGGCTTATGCGTAACAAAGACAAAAGAATCTGCCAGCATTTTCCTCCCTGCAGGCAGTCTTTCCACAGGTTTTCCTACTCACCTGCTCCTGCTGGTTCAGTGTTTGTGCCGAGTCAGGATGACAGGGCCTTACACGATAAATCCAGGGACAGATCCTCTTCAATAGAACATCTATATGACCTTATACTAAAAAGTGGTTTAACGTGAACAGAAAAGGATGCTGACTCCACAATTTTGCAAAAGCTCATTTTCTCATTACCTGCATGAAAAGCCCTTGGAGGTGTGAAATGCAATTCTAGACACAGTGGCACCAAGCCAATCACTCCAGAATTTATCATTAGCTACTTAAGCAACTCAGTGTCAAAGCATAAAATTACCTCCATCCAATATTAGCTGGAAGCAACTACTTTTATAACGCTTCTTTTCTCTATATTGTTTCTATTTCATCTTCAAAGTTCAGCTATTCCTTTTGCCCTTCTACCTTACCTGTCTGGAACAATCCTTTTCTTTTAACACAGAAGCTTGGTTTCATTTATCACACATCACCACAGGGGAATCAGCACTTCATCTTCCCCCAGGCAGAAATGTGCTGATCAGCTAAGTCATTCATGTGAAGCAAAATGATCCTTAACCATACAGTGGCCATGGCAGGTGTGAGGGACAGCCTGGACTGCTGATGCATTTCTTTGTGCAGCCATTCCTAAAGAACAGCACCAGGCATAAAAGAGAGGAAAAGCTGTATTTCTTCTAGCTCTCCACAGAGGGGAGGATAGAGCTTTGTCTGGCAGAAAGAGAAAGCAACCTGCATTGTGGAAACCTGCTATAACTTACCCTGTTCTCCCCATTTCTGTCCGAAGTAGATAAAGGTGCGTGATGCTGGATTAGCAACATTTCTCGCAACAGCACAATCTGCAACAGAGCTGAGTATCTTAGCTCAGTTTACTGGCAAGTGATCTGTTCTTGTGTGGGAGATCTTGCTGCTGTATTTCCTCAGAAAATTCTGGGGTTTTTCTGCTACTTCAGGGTCCACTCCTGCAAGCATAAAAAAAAAAAGTGATCAACCACATTTGATGGCCTTCCCCATCCGAGGAAGGGATCTAGCCGAGAGACTGTAAAAAAAAAAAGTGATCAACCACATTTATCCGAGGAAGGGATCTAGCCGAGAGACTGATGGGCGTTTATACTGAAAATTGGAACCATATCTTTGCAAATAAACATGTCGGCTGCAAGGAAGACAGGCAGTTTCTCAGCTTGTTACATCAGCTTCACTGCTCTCTCTACTAACCCTTGCATAGCTGTTCTTCAAACGTTTGCTGCATTGTAAATGCCATAAGCCCACTCCATCTGTAACAGAGCACGTGAGTTCTCTGTAAATATGCATCTCTCCAGCAAATCAAGCTGCATTTCCAGGGGAAATCAAATCAAATGCTGTATGTTCAAAACAATTGTCTACACAGGAAAAATAATATACACAAGTGGTTTACAAAGGTGATAAAGTCTCAGTCCGGCTTATAGTTCAGTAAAACCCTTTCTCACTTCTGCGCAGAGGCAGATGTCTCAAAAGAATTACAGTATTAAACTGAGAGCTGGCAAGTGCAAGTCTCAGCACAATTCACTCCTTACGGAATCACACATATGGCTATTTTTAGCAAATCGGAGATTGTGGCTTTGCATCCACTTCTCGAAAAGAAACCCAAACCCGGGACTTTTCCAAATTTAGCACTGTGTTAAGAAACAAATCAAAGAGGGGCAAGCATGAAAAGGCTATCACAAGTATTGTCCACGTCACCTTGAAATCTAAATCCTGTGGGCTTGCGTCATAGATGAACCGTCTTGTTCTGACCTCAAGGTACCTTTTATATACTTAATTATTGTGGAGCTATGCAGCAGGATTAGTGCATTTACTCTAAGTGGGAAGGCCTGCATAAACAGTAATACTGAAAAGCTTATGTAGTTGACATATTATCATGCATAGAGAGATCATATTGAGTGGATGGAGTCGAGAGACCAAATGGATTTCTTCAGGATGTTTTCTAGACAAATTGGACCAGCACAAAGCATAGGCCATGGCTTATCTGCATATTAGCTCTGACTTTTCATTGGATGCATCCAACCTCACCTGTGACATACTCACCTCTCCCCTACAGTAGTTCCCCATCAGTGGTACATGCAGGCAATATAGCCGCAGCAGGGAAGGCCTAGGCACAAGAGAGAGGTCTTGGAGGATGAAGCTGCAGTGTGAGAAGACTTTCCTAGTGCTGGGAAGAAAAAGAGAGATGAGAATAGCTAAGCATGCTCGCTGCAGCTCACTTGAGGGAGCTCACCACTCCCTTCAAAAGCGCTAAGGAGTTCGCTGGGGCACAGGGGAGCGCTGCAATGTTCCTGCCCCAAGGGAAGGGAACTAGCTTAATATACCTTGCTGACTCCAGACAGCAGGCTGGGAAGTCTCAGGTGGCAGGGGAACAAAAGGTAGATTTGAAGGACTGAAAAAAACAAAAAAAGCAGTTTTGCACTTTACAAAGACATTAAAGATTCCAACCCCCACCCCTCAAATGTAGGTGTAGAGAATGGAGGAATGGACACAAATTTATCTCTTTGTTCCTGGAAGTAAATTACTGCTGTGGCTTAGGAGAAGTGGGACCTTGTCCTAAGTCTATGATGATCTATTTAGTTTTGAATCTTGTAAACGTCAGCACATTTGCTCTATGCTCCTGGCAAAACCACACTGCCTCCTTCCTCCTGCAGGTATTTTGCTCCCTACAGAATATCAAGCAATTAATATCAGGTAACCGTACAGCAACCTGGGGGTCGGGACCCAAAGAAAATCCCCATGGGGACTGGAAGGGCATGGGTTTCTCTAGCCAGGGCCCATCCCACCACCCTCAGTGAGGGGGCAGCCCACAGTATCAGGCACCTCCATGGGGATGTGCTGAGGTCAAGCCAGGTAGTCAGCCTGCAGGTAAAGATCAACAGCATCCACAGTTGGATATGTCTGTGGCAGAGCTGGAGACCAGCACTCCTAAGCATAACTCAGGAAGGGATTGTAGGCCCAGGGCTGAGCTGAAATAGGGCCAATGGGCAGAGGTGTGGGTGGAGGCCCCAGGTGAGGCTGGTCAGGGCCATTAAAGTGGGCAGCAACAAAACTAACTTCCCTGAAAGACTTAGCAAAGGCAACCCCTCCCCTTGATCTACACTGATAAAGAGCATCTGGTAGGATCAGATAAGTAAATGTACTAATGCATGCAAATTATCAGATTGATAAAAAGAAAGGCAATGCCTACATTTAAAATTCCTTCTTCATAAACATTCTCTCTCACCACACTTCACTTTCATATGGTAAAACAGTTACTCAGCCTATGCATACATAATCCATAATATGATGCTTTTTTAGTTCTCCCTCATGTTTGCCACTTTTTGCTATAGTGGTCTGAAATAGTCACAGCCTGAGCTGTGTCCAGAGAAAGATCATCATTCAGGCAAAAATAATAAGGGAAAAAAAAACTCATTATAGATCTGACCTCTCATGTACTTGGGAAACTAATTGCAATCAATGTCTTCAGCTACACACAATTTACTACAACATGATATGTCTGGCCCATAAGACGAGTAAAACTGGTCCCTGGCAATGGCCATTATTCTTCACACACAACTTTAAGTGATACTATCAGATTCCCCATGTGTAAGGCCTCTGTGATTTCATACTGAATTACATTTAAACTTACAGAAGTGGGAATTGCTGCAAGCAAAACTTTCAACAAGCAACAAAGTGCAGCAGTTTCAGCAGAATATAGCGAAAAATGAGAATTCTCTTGCAATGAGCAAAGAAGATAGGGAGAAATACACGTGGTCTTTTGTGGAGCCATACTGTTATGAGATACGTGTCTATATATAGTAGCTGCTTCCTCATCTGAAAACCTGTGCATACCACTTGATTGTCTGATAACTTCCAAGCTATTTTCAAGACCATTCATTGTAGACCTCAACAATGGCTGGAGGGATTCATTTTACCTAACTTTTGGTGGACTGCTTTTGAGGACCTTTAAAGTCAGCAAAGATCTTTGCAACGAATCGATGGAGTTCAGTGTATGATTTGTGATCAAATGTTGGCCCCCACTGTGGGATGAGTTGCTCCTGCAGCTTACTACTTGATTAGATGCAACTACTCTTTGATTAGGTGCCCTCTGACAATATAAGAGTCTTAGGTGACTCACCAAGCCCAAAAGATTCTTCTCATACATTAATGTTGATAATGCCGCTACCTCATCATACATAGGGAAATGTTGGGGTTTTTTAATAGCATTTGTTTCACTCTTGACTGTTCAGTGGGAGAAGCAATGACTGCGTTGTGTAACAACTTCCCTATAGGGGGGAGTCCCTGCTGCCCGTGACTGCTATCGAAGGTGCGATGTTACGAAACTCATCACATACACAGTTCTGAGAGGCAGGGATCATGCCCTGCCCTTATTTTTGTGTGTGGAAACCTGGCTGGCTGGACATATTATGAAGCCTATTCTTAGCTGGATACCTAATCAAGGCAAATACACTAGGTTGGGGGTTTTTTTTTGCAGAAGTTAAGTTTTCAGCAGAATGTATTCTTTTGCGTAATGTTCACAATAAAATTAATTCACTAATTAACTTGCATGCACAAAGAAATGCAGCTGGGTAACGCTATATCTTCCATTTGGCTTAGCAATACTACATTTTACCACTATGTCTACATCCCAGCTTTAGAAAAACAAAGAAAAGGTCAGGTCCAGCCCAACATGTAGCTGTGAAATTCTCCTAACAAAATCATTAACTCTGCATAATGTCCAATCAAACAAAAAATGTATTTGTGGCCCAAGTCCTGTGTTAGCCATAAGAATGTTGCAGTTTTAACAGCAAACAAGAACAAATGCAAAAGAATGGAAAGGATGCACAAACCTGCTCCTGGGTTAAAAGCGATCTCTAACTGTCAGATGGGAATGAGACCTGCAGAGTGTTGAATTATGGTACAACTTCCAGTTTCAAAGACCTTTCTCCTTGAAGAAATAGTACCAGCCATAGGTAAAGAGTAGTATTAGACTTAAAGAAATTAGATTCTGATCTGATACTGCAATTACAGTGGGATTTTTTTTCTATTAAAATAAGAAGAGTGCAATAAAGTGATTAAAAAAATCCCAACAGAAACCCTGAACCAAATATTGATGTTGACTGTTGACTTCAGGGAGCAAGAAACTGACCCTCAGTCTAGGCATGGTGGCTCACAAAAACCTTTTGATGTCCAGGGAGAGAGAAGAGCCACAAAACCACGTCTTCGCTCTCCGCCCTCCCCTCCCTCTCAGGCAGCTCTGGCTCCTGCGTGCCGCTACGCAGATGCTTCAGCCCACCCCAGAGGGCTCGATCAGCCCGTGGGAGACGGCTCCCCGCGGTGAGGGGATCGGCAGAGGCATTTGGAGGGGGCTCCCCTCCGACGAGACCCCACTGCGCGCTGCCCGCCGGCGGAGGAGCCCTGCGGGGCGCTCCCTGCCCGCGCTGCTGTCCGCGCCCGTGGTGCTGAACG